AAAAAAAAAAAAAAAAAAAAAAGAGTCCCCATTTGGGGCCATCTCAGGGCTTCAAGAAAACATTTATGTCCCATCAGCTGGACCCCATCCTCCTGGCTGGACCTCTTTTCCCGATTGCTCCCATAAGGGACCTGAATTATTTTCTCCTTTGGTGATGCCAGCTTCCCAGTTCCCATGTTGTGTCCACTCCCTGGTCCAGCTTGGGACCTCTGGATACCCTATCTCCTTCTAGATCCTATATCCTAACTATGGCCAAGTCCTGCTGCTCTAGTCTATGTCCCCTCTCCTCTGTCCTGCTGCCACCTCCCAAGAGTCTCTACTTCTGTCTCCTGCTAATAGATCTTTCTGGAGTGCCTGTCCGCCCTTGGTATCCACCCGTTTATCAGGCTGACGTCAAGGTGCCAGGTTGGGTGACCTCCCAAGCCTCATCTGCTGCTCCCACAGCACCTCAGGGCCTTCACCCAACTCTGCTCCAGACCTTCCACCTTGACTTCTGCCTCTGCTTCTTCTCTCCCTCTAAATCCCCGCAGCCCGGAGAGGATGGGGTCCTGTGTCAGCAAACCTGGCCCTGGCCCTAGGTCTAACTTGGAGCCAGACATCACTACCTGTCAGTGAGCAGAGTGGTGGGTGCAGTGCTTGAACCCCAGGATGCCTCAGCCTACTGCGATCTCCAGTTATTTTTCTGGAACCTTCTGAATAGAAAAATAGCAAGTCCATCCTGATACGATGCCAGGAACACTGCACCAGGGCACAGCCTGGAGCAGCATGTGACCTTGTTACTAGGCCCCTCTGTGTTGGAGTCATAAATTGCAGCTGGTATGTAGGAGCCATGGGCATACAGAGCTCCTCCCTGTACTGGCTGCACACCACCCTCCACCGGTGAGGTTTACAGTTCACCCAGCAGATCATAAAGCCTGGCACGGACCTGCCCCCAAGCTGGACCAGCAGGGTCCAGGAGCCCGCAGTCCCTGGCCCTTCTTATAGCAGGAAGTTGGGGACAGCTAGAATGAGGAGTCTGTATCTGTCAATCACTAAGCCCCTCCTCCAGCAACCTGAAGGACACTCCTGGCCCAACAAGGTGGGAGTCTGCTTCAGGGAGACACAGGCCTCCTCCTCCCCAGGTTGGGTTAGGCCTCTGGTGTCAGCAATGATGTAACCCACAGGCCTAAGAGAGATTGAGGGGCAGGGAGTGGCCTGCCAGGGGGAGTGTGGGCTGAGTGGACCCAGGAGTCATTTCAGTCATTCCTGGCCCCTGGCCCGTCTCCCAAGGCCCTGAAATATGCAAAGGAGGGGGATAGAGGAAGGGAGCCATATGGACCTAGGAGGCCTGAGTGCAGGTGGCAGGGTACAGGGAAGAGGCCCGGACCAGGGAGGGTGGGCCTCCCAGTTCCCACCTGTGCTCTCCGACACAGAGCTGAGAGTTGATCTGCCTGATAAAGAACAACTTGTGTCCTCTTTCCCCATGTGCCCCCCCATTGATAGTGGAGACTCTAGTCCACCTGTCCACCCACGTGTTTCCTCACCTGCCCCCACCTTGCCTCCCCTCTGCAGCTGAAGCCCATTATCTCTGACCCTGAGTACCTGCTGGACCAGCACATCCTCATCAGCATTAAGTCCTCTGATAGTGACGAGTCCTACGGTAAGCATCCTAGACAGGGACAGGCCACCTGGGAGCCTGCAGCCTCCAGCAAGGAGGCGGTGCCATCTCCTCCAAGGGAGGGTGACCTGCCACTCCCATCTGTCCTCCTGCTGCTCCTGTCCTGTCCTGGGGCTGCTCTTAAAGGGTCCTTTACTAGAGGTTCACCGCTCCTGTCCCATGAAGCCTCTGCAACAGCAACTGGAACTTCTCCCACCCACACCTTCCCCTGGGTCAAGCCTGTGACAGGGGCTTTGCGGGTGTGACTTGATTTAATCCTGATGAGAGCTACAAAGTAGATACTATTTATTCCCCAGTGAATAGGTACAAACTCAGGCTCACATCAAGTCACTTGAGAAGTTGCACAGGTACTGACTGACTGAGTCCTGACTGAGTCTGAAGCCAGATCTGCAAGCATCGCTGTGCTTCTCATGTGTCCCCAGCCAGTCCCTCCCTCCTAGACAAGCCAGCTTCCCATGTCATTTCTTTTTAAATTTATTTTAGAGGTTATTTATTTATTTATTTATTTATTACAGTACTGGGGATTGAACTCAGGGGTGCCCTACCACTGAGCTACACCCCCAGCCCTTTTTTTGTTAGGGTCTCAATAGGTTGCTGAGGCTGGTCTCGAATTTGTGATCCTCCTGCCTCAGCCTCCAAAATCCCTGGGATTACAGGCTTGCCCCACTCTGCCTGACTATTTCAGGTTTTTTCTTTGTGCAGAAGTTTTAAACTTGTCTATCTGCCCATCTTATCATTTCTTACATTGCTTTGAACCTTGGGAAGTTAGCTTCCCCTAGAGCAAACAGGTTAGCATTTAATTCTGGTTTGTTGCTGGCTTTTCTAGGATTTAATTCTTCTTTTCACATTGACTAATCCATGGAGATTTCATTTTGCTGTGAGATTTGAGTCATTTGTCCCAAATTGCTGTGGTTGTTCAAAGGTTTAGTAATGGGGTCTCTGCCTGGCCACGGTGTCCGAGGATTGACTACAGTGGTCAAGCCGTGTCCGGCTCATGCTCGGTGCTTCTCCTGTGAAATGGTCTGGTCTTGACAGGGCTGTTCTCTCCCTTTCCCCCCAGGTGAGGGCTGCATTGCTCTTCGGTTGGAGGCCACAGAAACCCAGCTGCCCATCCATACCCCTCTCACCCACCATGGAGAGATGACAGGCCACTTCCAGGGGCAGATTAAGCTGCAGACCTCCCAGGGCAAGAAGAGGGAGAAGCTCTACGGTGAGTGAGCCCCAGCCCTGGTCACCTCCTGGGCTAGGGACAGCCTTGTGCCTTCTCTCAGCAAAGCTTCCCACTGCAACCTCGAACAGAACCCAGTTTGGAAAGCTTCTCAGTCCAGTGACCCACTTCTACCTTCTTCAAGAGTTTCTCTAGAACCCCAGTGCCCAGCAGCCCAGGTCACACTTGCCAAACTTGGTCAGCTTCCATTTTCAAGGGCACAAAGCTTGTGAAGTGTACAGAGCTCCTGTTCTCACCTCTTCTTGGCCTTTAGGCCTTGCCACCTCCTGATAGGGCCTCCACCAAGATTGCAAAACCAACCTACCTGGAGTGAAACCTACCTCTCCAGGCCACCAGGCAAAGGAGACCAAAGCTCTGCCACGGTTGAGATTTGGAATCTTCCTGCTCTTCCCGTGGCCATATAATGCCCACTCACATGAGCAGCATACCCTCATACCTACCGACACCTCTCCTCGGGTTGCCCGCCCAGGGTGCTGGACCTCCCCATCTGCTTTCAGCCACCACATGCACCTAGAAGACCCCCTGTCCTCACCACATGTCCTTGGCTTTTCCCTGGCCCAGCTGCCTCCAGAATGGCATCCTCCAGTCTTCTGGGTGCTTACACCCTTTTCAACTTGAGCTCAGATCCTTCTGTCTTGTTAAATGCCACTTACTTTGGCTGTTGGGAGGGTTCATTTATTGTGACTCTCAAAAATGACACCACATGCCAGGCATTACACCTGAAATCCCAATGGCTCAAGTGGCTGGGACAGGAGGATCATAAATTCAGAGCCAGACTGAGGCCCCGAGCAACCAGGGAGACCCTGTCTCAGAATAAAAAATAAAGGGCTGGGGATGTGGCTCAGTGGTTAAGTAAGTGCCCTGGGTTCAATCCCTGGTACCAAAAAAAGAAAAAGACTCCAGGATTGGGGGCATAGCTCAGTGATACAGTGAGCAGGTGTGCAGAAGGCCCTGGGTTGGATCCTCGGCACTGCAGATGATGGTGGTGATGAAGAGGATAAATGGCACCAACACAGCCACATTCTGTGACCAATACTCATTGCAGACATTAACACCAGCCTGAGAAGCCATTCCCTTTTAGAACCTAGTGAAGACCCTGTTGATCATCTCTTAACTAAAAATTGTCACACCCTATTGTAAGGATACAGAACGAGGCCAAGAGGCTGGGTGCAGGGATTCATACGTTCAATCAGCAACTCAGGAGGCTGATATAGAAGGATCCCAAGTTCAAGGTCAGCCTCAGCAACTTATTGAGGCCCTCTTTCGAAAAGGGCTGGGGATGTAATTCAGTGGTAAAGCACCCTGGGTTCAATCCCCCCAGTACCAAAGAAAAATAGTATAGTGAGAACACAGAGTGTATCTAGATTCGAATTTGTAATTTTTCTCTTATTCTGCCAAAAATTTACCAAATATCTCTTCCTTTTTACACAGGGAACAAATGATCTCCCCTCAACCCCACTTTTCCTCTTTAATTTTTGCTTTAGAGAATTCAAATGACAATACCTAAATGAATTAGGCTTGCACTAAATTCTTGATAATAAGCAGAATGATCCTCTCATAAACATTATCTCATTTCTCTCTCGCAATAGCCCTGGGAGCCCAGTGTGGTAATCTGTGTTTGGCAGGTGGGGAAACAGGCAGGGGCTACCTGCCTGGCTGAAGCTCAGAGCCCTGATGAGTGGCTAAGCCAGGTTCCCTCCAGGGCCAGGCGTGGACTGCTCAGTATGATGGTTTTCCTGCCTCTCCGTCATTGTGTGTGGAAGGTGTGATGTCCCCACACCAGGAGGTGCCCTGGGCCCATCTCGGGGTGCTGCCTCTGGGCCATGGTTCCCCCTTTGCCCTGTGGAAGCTCCTTTCTCTTGCAGGGTTGGGCTGCAAGCCAGAGTCAGCAATGAAGGTGGGATCCCGGCTCCCCGTTAGCCCAGGGACAGGTTGGCTGTAAGTACCAGATGCTCTTGGAAGCCACCTGTTATGTTCACTTTGTCCTAATCTGACAAGAATTATTGGCCTGTTTTGTCCTTTGTGGAGGTCAAGTTGAAAATGTCACATGGAAGGACAACTCTGGGTCACGGGTGCCAGTTCTCCCTCTGGAGGCATGGCAGACATAATTAATCGATCGCTGAACTCTTGGGAGGCACCTTCCCAGGGAGCCGCTCTTCATCTCCAGCTTCCGCCGGTGAGTGGACGCCACTTTGCTCCCCTGGCCCTCATGTGCTCTTTCTGACCCTTGCCTTCCAGACTTCGTGAAGACAGAGCGAGATGAATCCAGTGGGCCCAAGGGCTCGAAGAGCCTCACCAGCCATGAGCTCGTGAAGCAGTGGGAGCCCGCCAGCAGGTAGGGAGGGCAGGGGTTCCAGGGCTCTCCGCACACCAGCTCAGCTGAGCGGACCAGGGCCGAGGAGAGAGCCAGCTGGCGCCCACAGACTCCAGGGTGGAGGAGGGAGGAGGCTCAGGGCCAAGAAGACCACTCTCCCGCCCTTGACTCCTCTGTCTTCTGACCACAAAGCCCCTCGCTGAGAGGTCAGCCGTGAAGCCCGGACCCTGCTGTCTGGAAGTTCGGTTCAGCCCAACCAGTGTTCGCTGAGCACCTACTGTGTGTCAGATGCTAGAGACGTCAAGGCCAAGTGTGTGCAGTCCCCAGCTTGGGAACCCCCTGCCTATCTGGCTGACAGAAGGGTGTGTGGTCCCGGAAGAAGCAATGGCCACTGAGTGACTCCCAGGCAACATATGCATGCCGTGTCTCCCCTGAGACCAGAGGCGTGGGCAGTTGTGGGGTCCTTGGCCAACAAACCCGTTGGGCTACTAACCGGAGCAGGCACTGGGGAACGCGCACACGGGTTGCTCTTGATGGGCTGAGCCGGGAACAATCTGCACGTTGAAGTCTATAGTACTGGAGGCAGCAGGGTCACCTCAATTTGCTGATGGGGTCTAGAGTCTCCTGGCCAGCCCACCTGTCCTCCTGCCTCCAGTCCCCACACTGCCTGTCCTTCCTGCCCTTGCTCCCTTATGCACAGCAGCTCCCTCTCCAGCACATACCCTGTCCCCTTCCCTGGCTGATGTCATGCCGTGGGCACTGAAGTTCCCCTTTCACTCTTCCCTCATCACCCGTCAAAGAACACATCCTAGCTCTAAAGTGTCGGCCCGGTTCCAGAATCAGGAGGCCCACAGGGGAAAGAGTCCTTCCCATTTTGACCAGCACTGGACCAGCCTTGCCTCTCCTCGTGGGCGGGTGGGGGTAAGGGAAAGACAGACGGGGCTGCAGGGGCTCCTCACAACCAGTCAGTTCTCTGGAGATGCTTCCGAGCACAGAGGCAGCGTGCAGTGTGCGTGACTGTTGTGGTTACCTCACCCAAACCTGGGCCAGCCCCTCTACAATTTTAATCCACCTGCCCATGAGCAGCTCCAACCTTGACCTCTGTGACCTTGCACTTGCTTCCCAGTCTGATGCTGTGCACCTTATCCCAGAGGACTCTGCCAGAGTCTGCTCTGAAATTACCCTCCTTCCCACCCCACCCACCCTGTCCACCTCCCACAGATCCCAGGCTCGGCCTGCCAGCTTCTCATTCCATTCTCCTATCTGCTCACTGGTCTTAGAACATCTTGGGACAGGCCGAGCCCCTCTGGCCTCAGGGCCTTTGCACTCTTACCTCTACCCAGCACCTCCTCGCCTACTTTCTCTTGTATCTGATGTGTCTTTTCTTATCTGAGCTAAAAGAGCAACTCCTCCATTAGGCCCTGTCTGGCTCCACTGCCCCTGAGTCCCAACCTCTGATTCTTGTTACTTCAGCACAATATAAATATCCTGTCTGACTGCCACTGAGCTTGTTCAGTGTGGGTCTCTCCCAGCAGATGGGAGTTTTGTGAGAACAGAATCAGGGCTGCCTTTTTCCCACCACAGCCCTGCTCCCGGTTCAGGCCTGGTGCTCACTCAGCACCTGCCACGCGGCAAGAGTCAAGGAAAGATCTGGTGCCCCAGAAACAAAGCAGTTGAGGACCTGACGAGCCAGGGGACATCAGAGGGCACGGTCCTCAGACTGGTGCTGACCTTGAGAAGGGCAGAGCCCCAGACACACCTCGTCTTTCCCACAGGACCCCTCTGTGCAGTTCCTCCGGTGCCACTGAGCTCATCAACCCCAACTACATGGTGGGGCCCTTCGGGCAGTCCCTGCACATGAAGCAGACCCTGTCCCCAGACCAGCAGCTGACCGCGTGGAGCTATGACCAGCCACCCAAGGACTCCTCCCTGGGGTCTGGGAGGGGAGAAAGTCCCCCCACCCCTCCCTCCCAGCCACCTTTATCACCAAAGAAGTTTTCACCCTCCATAGCCCCCCGGGGGCCCTGCCTCAGGGCTCAGGAGTCCAGGTGAGTGCCCTCTTCATCTCGTCTTTCCTGCTCTGGATTTCATGCTGGGGCAGCAGCCTGGGAGGGTGGGGCTTGGGTCTGCTCTGTTCACTGCTTACCCTCCAGCCTATTGGTGGAAGCTCCAAGTCCCAGCCCATTGGTGCAGCTTGATTTTAAAAGTTGGGGAATAGCTGGGTGCCGTGGCGCACACCTGTAATCCCAGGGTTGGGATTACAGGCTGAGGCAGGACAACCACAAGTTCAAAGCCAGCCTCAGCAACTTAGCGAGACCCTGTCTCAAAATTAAAAGGAGAAGGGGGGTGTGGTTTAGTGGTTAAGCACCTGTGGGTTCAATCCTTGGTACCAAAAAGAAAAAAAAAATGTTGGGGGATAGAGATTATTAAAGATACTATTAAGAAAAACAAGCTCCTGTCAGGTGCAGAGATGCATAAGAAATAAAAAGAATTGGGGTGTAGCACAGTGGTAGCCTCCTGGGTTCAATCCCCAGTGCTAAGAAAAAAAAAAAAAAAAAAAGAAAAGTGAATTTCTCCCCGGGCATCTCTGGCTCCCTGGAGGGAACCTAGAACAGGGGTGGGGATCTCTTTGTAGAAGCCCTTCTCAACCCCAAGATCCCCTCTCTTTTTCTCCACCTGGAGGGCCCCTGTTCCTGTGTGCAGTCTCTCCTGCTGCATGCTATTAGAAAACTGGGACAGAGGTACGTAAGGGAGGTAGAGCAGCCAGCCCTGGGCTTTGAGGAAGTCACTCAGACGAGAAGTGGGCCAAGCAGGGTGGAGCTGCAGAGGAGACTGGCAGGGCCGCAAGGACCTGAGTCTGCAATTTGAGGCCCAAAACAAAGCAGGGGCAGCCCCTGAGCTCTCGTAGGAATTCAGGACCGAGAGGCCTGTAAGTCTCCAGTCCTACAGGGTGACCTTTGGACATGAAAAGGGCAGACCCCGTTAACAATGATTGAAGCTGTGCAAAACATGGCGAGCCTCCTGTCCCCTCTGGGGCTGTTAGTACTGTCTTATCATGACCCCAAGCCTTGCTCTTGGCCTCATTCCCTGGCAGGGTTTGGCTTTTCCTTTTATCCATGAGGACGTCAGTTCCACAGTGGTCGGGAGCCGATGCAGGGAGTGTAGTTCATAATGCTGCTCTCCTGCAGCCCCCTCTGGCCTGGCAGGGTTTCCTCTGGATGGGGGGCCAGGGGCAGTTGAAGATTTTCTCCTAGTGTCCATTTGGCAAAGGCCATTTCCTTGGCCCCAGAAATGGAAATGGAAGCAACTACAAAGAATAAGGAGCTAATGTTTAAGTAGTTTATAAATTCCCAAAGTAAATGTTTCTTTGGGATCCTCCCCACTTTGCGGTACTAGGAATTGAACCCAGGGGTGCTCTATTATTGAGCTACATCCCCAGCCCCATCCATTCATTCATTTTTGTACTGGGGATTAATCCCAGGGGCATTTAACCACTGAGCCATATCGCTACCTAGGCCTTTTTATTTTTTATTTTGAGACAGGGTCTCACTAAGTCACTCAGAGCCTCGCCAAGTTGCTCAGGCTAGCTTGAACTTGACAATACTCCTGTATCACCCTCTCCAGCTGCTGGGATTACAGGCATGTTTGTGCCTCCAAGTCCAGCTCATTTTTATTTTTACTTTTTATTTTTAATTTTTTTGGTACCAAAATTGAACCCAGGGGTGCTTAACCACTGAACCACATCCCCGGCCCCTTTTTACTTTTTATTTGGAGACAGGGTCTCACTAACTTGCTTAGAGTCTTGCAAAGTTGCTGAAGCTGGCTTTGAACTTGTGACTCTCTGCCTCAGCCTCCCAAGCTGCTGGGGTTACAGGCATAAGCCACAGCCCCCAACTCCTTTTGTTTTTTGTGTGAGACAAGTTCTCACTGAGTTGCCCAGATTGTTCTTGAACTTGCAATCCTCAGTCTCCCCAAGTCATGGGCATTACAGGTGTGCCCCATCACACCTAATATAAACATATCTTTGTTTAAGGGTCTGAACACAGCTTGGTAGGCAGCAGTTTTCCTCCAGCCCCACAGGTGAGAGCAGAATAGGGCATCTATAGGCAAGAGTCCCCCAGGTGGGGTTCTAAGTTCACTTCTCACCAAGGAGGTGATTCAAGGCAAAAACCTGGAAGATCCTGCCCTGCCTGTAGGTCCTAAGCCTCCAGGTCCCAGGCTCAGCCTGAATAATTACTGTGCACTGTCACCAGCACCTCAAGGTCCCCACCATTTCCCCAGGCCTGGGGTGGGGTGCCCACCTATCTGGGTTGCCCAGGACTGTTCCAGCTGTAGCACTAGAAGCTCTACCTCTTAGGAAACCCTTTAGTCCATTCTTCAGTCCTGGCGAACGAGGACAATTGGTCACATCTGTCCAGGTTCCCTCCAGACCCCACCTGCCATTTGGTTCCTTCCACTGTGAGTTATGAGAGGAAGGAAACCGCACTCCCAGGAGCCCTCTGGGGCAAGGACTTTGTCCCCTGGGAAGGTCTGTGTTAATCTGGATGATGACCACCTGAGACATCGGATTTCTTTCTTTGCTTCACTGAAGCTCCGCTGTGCCTGGGGGAGCTTGTCACGCTTTCTACGTGTTTAGTAGATGGAGCTTCTTGAGACCCTCAAGTAGCACAAGTGGTTACCTAGGAGGGTCAGATGGTTCATCTGGTCCCCTGCAAGGCTTCCATTTCCCTGAGCATCCAAGCAAGTGAAGGGTCCCACAGGATTGCTGGAGATGGCAGAGGAGCTGTGACAGTTTTCGGGAAGCCTGGAGACAGGGTCTGCCAGCAGTGGGGGTATGGCTGGCTTTCCTGCTGAGGCTGGGGGTTGTTATTGGAGGTGCCATTTCAGTTCACACTTCCCTTTCTACAAAAACCCCACTGAAGTCCCCCTTGTTCGCAGATGCTCTGGGGTGATCAACTTTTGTTAGTGGATAATGTCCCAGGTCAGAACTGAAGTTGCTTGGGGGAACATACAAAAATACAGTACCGTCTATCTCCTCATCTTTATTTCTTTAATTTTTTTTATTGAAGTGAAATTCACATAGCATAAAATTATCCATTTTAAAATGAACAGTTTGGTATTCAATACCAAAAATATGCGACCACCACCTCTGATTTCAAAACGTCTTTATCACCCCCAAACGAAAGCTTGCACCCACGAAGCAGCCCCTCCCCGCTGTCCTCTCTGTTGAAGAGCACGCTTCTTCCCGGCTCCCCTCCCCTCTCTCCCCCAGCTGCTGGCCCAGCGACCTGGGGAAGATCCCGCCTGAAGCTCCTCCACCCGACGAGCCCGAGATGTTCGAGAACCCTCTGTACGGGTCCGTGAGCTCCTTCCCCAAGCTGGTTCCCAGGAAGGAGCAAGAGTCCCCCAAGATGCTGCGCAAGGAGCCTGCAGCCTGCCTGGACCCTGGGGTCTCATCGCCCAGCATCTTGCTCACCAAAGCCCAGGAGGCCGAGGGCGGCAAAGGGACAGGCAAGCAGGGCCCCCCGTCCTTCCTCAGCCCCGCGCCCCGGCTCCGCTCCTTTACCTATTCATCCTCTGCCGAGGGCAGGGCGGCCGGCGGGGACAAGAGCCAAGGGAAGCCCAAGGCCCCTCCCAGCTCCCAAGCCCCGGTGCCAGCCAAGAGGCCCATCAAGCCTTCGAGGTCAGAAATGAGCCAGCAGACGGCGCCCACCCCGGCCCCACGGCCACCCCTGCCCATCAAGAGCCCTGCAGTGCTACAGCTGCAGCAGTCCAGGGGCCAAGACTACCGTGACAACTCGGAGCTCCCCCACCACGGCAAGCACCGGCCCGAGGAGGGGCTCATCAGCAGGACTGCCATGCAGGTATGTTCATGGACACGCCTGTGTCTATGTGTGCACACGTGTGCGTACACTTGTGTGCATGATCATTCTAGGAGCTGCTCCATGAGGAAGAGCTAGAGCTAGGATTTGAACTTGAACCTGACTGTCCCCATGCCCTGACCTTCCACTGCCTCTGAATGATTGCTAAAAGGGACAGAGGAGGGGCCATGTGTGGATGAACTCCTAGCCCTGTGGAGCTTAGAGCATTTGTATTTCATTTGTGCATCCTTAGTGCATGCATTCATAATGTTCCCTGTTGTTCAGAGACTTCAAACATAATCTCCCCTTCCTATAAATAATCTCCCTTCCAATAAAATAGTGTGGTTTTTTGTTAGTTTTTTTATTTTTCTTAAGCAATACTAACAGTGGTTAGGAACACCCTGGGGACTGGAGTATAGCTCAGTGGTGAAAACAGTGTTGAATCTGAATTTCAGCTCTCCTACTTCCTGGCTCTGTGCCTTGAGCCTCAGTTTACTTATTTATAAAAGGGAGCTATTAGTGGCATGATTCCTATAGATTTCTGGGGAGAACCGTTATATACTCTTATGTATTACTATATATTATCTTTTTATGTTGTACATACATATGACTTCATGGTAATAATATACAAATAACAAAGTTAATGATCTATATGACTCTTATTACATATAACATTGCATAATCATACAGGTATATGTCATATGTTATATGTAAAGTACTTAGAATAGTGTGGCTGGCTATTTTCATGCCACAGGAAGGCTGACCTTGCCCACAGCACACAGTGTTGCTGGGCCACTTAGTCACACATGGCCTGGTGAGAGTGAGCCCCTGACAACCCTCTGTTCTTGCCCCGCAGTGAAGCCTGTGGGGTGCTGCTGGCGACGGGAACCCAAAGGAGCAGCATGATGCCGGAAGCCACTCACAGCTCTGGAAGCCTCTCCCAGGACCGTCTGCTGCTCCCACCTAGCTTCCTGGGCAGGGTTTTATTGGGGGCGGGGGAGGGGCCTCACTCCCGTGTGGTGGAGGAGCCAGCCGGCTGCCCCCTGGGAGCTGTGCTGAGGTTTAAAGGAAAACTCATACCAGGCTTGGTTCCCATCTTGGTCTTGGTACTTGGAACCCCCGGACCTTGTTCTCGTCGCCCTTTGAAAGAAGGAAACTGAAGTGCCGACTCAAGGGTGGAATTATAAATAATAATAATATTAATAATAATAATAATGGACACATGGGTGGAGTCCTCACCACGTGCTGTGCTAAGTGCTTTACGAACACAGTGTCAGGATGACTCCAGGGTGGAGGCTCCAGCCAACTGGAACAGCTGCCCAGACCCTCCAGTTCAGAATGGTGTGTCCTAAACGGTTTGGACAAAGCATTAAGAAGGCCAGTGTCCCCCAGAGCAGAAAGGGGCTTGGCTGTAGGACCTGAATGGCTAGCTTGGGTACAAGGAGCCAGATCCTTTCCAGCTTCAGTGATGTGAGCTGCTTCTGCAAACCAGGGGTCCAGCACAGTCCCCTGGGAGAGCAGGGCCTGGACAGTCAGCTCCAACTCTCCAGTTGGAGAGATCATGCCTCCACCTTGGCTGGAGATGTCAAGGCCCCTGCCGAGTCCAGTGCCAAATCCCTGCGCACTGCCTGAAGTGGACAGCCGCTGCCAGGCCTGGATGAGGCTGAGCACCCCGACGCTTCTGTCTTGCTAAGGGACAAGTCTCCACTATTGCTGGAGGCCAAGCTCTCCAGCCCAGCTGCCAGAGAGGGTGGGCCTCTTGGTTCCAGGCTCTCAAACTAGTGCATCCTCTTCCCAAGCTCTGTGGCTTTTAGTCCCGTGTCCTTGGTTACTAGGAGAATAGATTGTTAATGCCTTCCCTTGTGGCTTTTTGACATAACAGAATTAATGTAGAAAACCAAATCCAGAGTGTGTGCAAGAATCCCTACATGCCCCCAGGCGCCCACAGGCACCAGTCTGTGTGACCAATAAATTGTGCCTTTCTCTTCTTCCATCGGTGTGGCATTTTTCTCTGACACTCAGAGCCACACACACACATTTATGGAATGTGGGGGCCGGAGGAGCAGTCAGGGAGGCTGGAATCTGTTGAGGATTCGTGTTGGTGACAAGATAACGTCACCCTCACCAGACGGACACTGGGACAGTCTTCTGTGGAGCCAGTTTGAGGTTGGGCATGGACAGGGCCAAGGGTAGGTGCCACTCCCTCCACACAGGTCTCTGGGGGACTCCAGGTTCCCTGCCACCACCCAACTTCCACAACCACCCTTGGGTGCCTGCTATCCTACAGCACACAGTGCCCCCCTCCCAGCTTTTGTGACCAGAACTAAAGCTCCAGAGACAAACGCATGCAAACAACCCCTAGGTCATGGGCTCCCACGTCAGAGGCCTTGCAAAGTGCCACGGCCTGCACTGCCACTCTGGCCACCATGGGCTTCTCAGCATCTGTCCTCCTGCAGACTCCAGGTGTGGACTGCAGGGATTAGAATCTTTGGCATTCTCAGAGCAAACCATCCATTCACTGCCTGCCACTGTGGCACACACTGTGACAGAGCTCAGACCCAGCTGAACCTGTCCTCTCACCCCTACTCAGGTGGGAGCCCCTTACTCTGCAGGAAACCTGACCCACATCCCCCACCCGCTGCATGCTGACCCAGTAGACGAAGGGCCAGGGCATAGAGAAAGCTGGAGACACCCCGATGTCCTTCAGCCTGCCCCCAGCCACCTCCTCACTGCTGAGGACCAGGAAACTGATGCCTGTGGCCCTTGGGAACCCACCTGCTGCCAGGGCGGGCTGGCCTGCTGCATGAGGTCCAGGAGCAGCTCCACACAGGGACAGCAGAGAGCCCACAGGGTGGACATCAAGCCTCCCCACCATTTATTGGGTTCCCAGGAGAAGCGAGCGGAAGGGCACCGGCATGGAACACTCCTCATCTCCCTGTCACCTTGACTGAGCCCTAGTCACCTAGTCATCCCTTTCCCTCCACAGTCCAATATATGCTGTCATGAGGACCTGGCTTTGCACATGGACAGCCAACCAGGCTCATGGATACCCAGAACTGGGATCAAGGCAATTAAAGAAGTGCCATCCTGTCCTTCCAGGCTCTCAGCCCTGCACACACACACACACACACACACACACAGGAGGTCCCTGACAGCCCTTCTCTGGGCTGTGTCTCCTTTCCTGACAGTTCTGCTCCAGGCCTCCCAAACACCCAGCCTCCTACCCGGGCAAGAGAAGCAGGGACCAGACCCAGCCACCTCTTGACCCCTAATTGATCTGACCTCATATTCTTCACCAAGCTCTGTAACCAAAAAGGCAAATTCAATTAGGTTTTCCTTACAAAGCTGCCCCTTCTCTTGGATGACCCCATTGCCCCCATCAGAGAGTGCAACTTACAATCTTTTTTTTTTTTTTTTTTTTAAGAAACAAAAGTTTGGGGCTGGGGCTTTAGCTCAGTGATAAAGTGCTTGCCTCCCATGTGTGAGGCACTGGGTTCGATTCTCAGCATCACACAAAAATAAATAAAGATATTGTGTCCATCTACAACTAAAAAAAAAAAAAGTTTTCTTTGCATGATTAGATGAAAACTGGTGGAAAGCTCCAGAACTCCTGCTGACAGGAAGGTGCTGCTGGTTTCCTGCAGCCTGCACCAGTTTCCAGGATGTGCCACATAGCCTGAAGGGCAGCCACTCTGCCCACGCCACCTGTGGGACTGGTAGCCTCTGCTCTCCAGGGCTTTGGTTGCTTTTCCGTGCCATTTTTTCCACCCACTGGGAGGGAAATTAGTGAGTCATTCAGAAAAGCTCTCTCCCACAGCTACCTTCCCTAACCCCAGCCTACCAGGTTCTGTCTTCCCAAGTTCTTAAAATAGCTCCTTTCTCTGCAAACTAATTTCCATGGAGACCCAGCTTCAGGAAGGCCCCGAAGCTTTCTGTAAGACAGCAAGCTCAGTTCCAGTCCTCACTCCAGCAGAGGCCCTTTCCAATGCAAATGCCTGGCCTCACCCCCACAACCACCCCACAAGCTCCCATTTTGGGAAATCTGTACTGTGCAGGAACCACACTGGCATGTGGGGTCCAGGTATGGACAATCTATGTTCTGATCTATTCTCTCGCAGCTCCCAGCTGACCCAACCACTGGGCCTAATATGTACACACACACTCATGTCCTCCATCACCCATTCAAAATGCGTGCTGGGCCTATGGAGGCCATGGGGTGGGGACCTCCTTGGCCCTGGGACAGACAGAAAGGTTTTTGGTTGGTTTGAGGCATCAGGGATTAACCCAGGAAACCTGTACCACGGAGATACATCCCCAGCCTCTTTTTTTTTTTTTTTTTAATTTTGAGACAGTGTCTCACTAAATTGCTCAGGTTGGCCATGAACCTGCAGTCTTCCTGACTCAGCCTCCTAAGTAGCTGGAATTACAGGCTTGTACCACTTTGTCCAGAATGGAATTAAAATACCTTGTCTTTTATTTCCTGAAAGTACAGTCTTGTGCCAGTCACCCAGCCTTCCTGAGCCTCAATTTCCAGTCTTTGAAGGGCAGTAGGTGACCTGCCTGGGTGATCCTGAGGGTTGAAGAGCTCATCTGCCTGGCACTGGCCCAGGGCCTGGTGAGCAGTAGTATTCTTTGAAGGTTGCCCCTTCCCCTCCCAGGGGAATAAGGCAGCATGAGAGCGCACTGAAGACATCCCCTGAGAGGAAGCAAGAAGGGCTCTCTCCAGGGCAGTGGGGGAGGTACCCAGGCAGCCTGTGGGACTGAAGGAATGTCCTGGAAGGAGGAAATGCCTCTTAGATGTTGGCAGGAGCCTGAAGCAATCAGTGAGGCAGGAAGTCCATGGGCCAAGTTGAAGCTGTGGAAAACCTTGAAGACCAGGGGACTAGATGAAGCCAGCAGGACTAGTGGAGGCAGAGGGGCAGTGGGAACCAAAGAGGGGCTAACTGAGGCTGGTGGGCTGATTCAGGACAAAAGGACTAGGTGAGGCTAATTGAGGCCAAGTGCTAGTTGAAGCCAAGTAGACTGTCAAGAGGGGAGGTCAAGGTGGAGGTCAAGAGTGCTGGAGCACTAGCGCAGGCCAGGAGGACTTCTTGAGGCAAGGGGAGCTAGTTGGGTCTCTCCTGCTGCAGAGGGCCCAGCACCTCAGATTCCCTGAGTCAGCCGGAGCAGACCTGAGGACTTGCAGAAGTCCCTGATCCTCGCCTGCTCATACATCATAGGGTGGTCACAGGCCGCTCTCACATGGCGGCAGAACTGTCACCACACAGAAGCTTGGGTCCTCCATTGTCCGGAACACACCCATCCCACGTGAGACTTGGCTCCTGCTTCTCCCTCTTCCCCTCGCTCAGTGACTTAGGCCTGATTCTTTCTGCAGTGAATGGGGAGCCACAGGGGCTTGGCAGCAGGCAGCCACTCCATCGTGCCTGTGTCTAGGAAGTCGCGAATAGCAGGAGGCAAGCGAGGCGCTTGAACAGGCAACACCCATAGATGCCACCCTACACTTGCACCCCCTCACATTTGAAGGCGCCCCACCCCAGAATGCCCTGGCTTATCTCTAGTCTTGGTCCTGCTCAGAGGCAGAGAAGTGGGGCCAGAGGCCAGGAAGGGCCAACTGACGCTGAGGAAGTTGATACCCTGGCACCTGCAGCCCTGCCAGGAGAAGGAAGAGGAGGAGGTGCTGGCAGGAGAGGCTGTCCTCTGCAGCGAGCAGAAGCGTGTCTCATGCATGGGACGAAAACGGCATTCACCTGCCTTACTCAGAGTGCCTCTGCCTGCTTGGTGTGTCTTGCTTCTGTTATTTTTAGAAAACACTCAGCTCAGCGGGTGGTTTGGAGCACACACTCTGGAGCTGGACTTCCTAAATGTGCCAAGCACCTTGCCGTCTGTGAGTACATGTGAGGAATAAATCAGTAACCCTGGCTTCCAGAGGAGGCATATACCTGGGCCGACATGTACACTGCCAAATGGAGAGGACTATGGACAAAAGACGTGCCCTGAATTTCCATCAGGATTAGCTGCGCAAACGTTTTATGCTCTAGCGTTCAGAGTTTGGGACATTCACCAGGACAGTGAGTCACTTGCGTTCAGCCCCCAGCACCACTACCTCCTGGCTATATGACAGTGGCTAAGAGCTAGTTCACATTGCCTCAGTTTCCTTGTTCTAAAAGTAGACGATAATGACACCATGAAGTACAAATTATAGAAGGCCACTGCTTTGGACCAGAATCCTTCATTAAGCCTCCCAAAATTAAACTAAAAATCAAAATGGAGTCACTTAGGCCAGGGATCCATGTCATCAAACTGTAGCTAAGCATCTAAGCCCTAAAAAATCAGGAGAGAGACAGAAGTCACTAAAGAGGCCGGTTCCAGATGGCATGACGTGGAGTTCCCTCTGCCCCTGTGCTTACAAAAACAGCAACGTGGGGCTGGAGATGTGGCTCAAGCGGTAATGTGCTTGCCTGGCATGCACGGGGCACTGGGTTCATCCTCAGCACCACATAAAAATAAAATAAAGAGGTTGTGTGCTGCAGTCTGACTGGGCACAATTCATGAGCCACTTATCAAGCAGAAAAGAACCGGGGATCCCACAAGCCTCTCAAACCCCCCCC